AACCAACTGAGCCACCCAGGCGCCCCATCTTGAAGGACATTTTTAGGACATTGACTGATGATATTAAGTGTCATCATGGGATTCAGCAAAGGAGCCCAAGAGTGCCTGAGTCTTGTCTTGTCCTGGCCATATTTCTCTTTAGTGAGCCCTGCAAGGGAGATACATATGCCCAAGGCACTGTTTATTAACATCTAGGGAGATATATACACCCAAGGCACTTTTATTAACATCTAACACAGAACCTCAGCTGAACTGAACGTGTGGGTAGAAGCTCAAAGATATTTCCTATCCCCCTCCCCCTGCCATCCAATCTTGGAATCTTACTGTATTTTTTTTTGAAAAAAGATTTTATTTATTCATTTGAGAGAGATAGAGCACAAACTGGGGGAGAGGGAGAGGGAGAAACAGACTCCCTGCTGAGCTGGAGCCCGACATGGGGCTCAATCCCAGGATCATGACCTGAGCCCCCAGGCGCCTCAAGGGATCTTACTGCATTAATTATCGTTTTTATTTTCTGTATTTTATGATGCTTTGACATTTTAGGAGCCTTGCTAGCTGGAGAGAGACTGCCCCTCCCAGTGCAAACTTCATTCCTAGACAGTGAACAACTTGTCTGGAAGTGTGCCTTTCATATACAAATCAACCAATCCAAACCCTCAGCCCCAACTTTTTATCTAACGCTCACACACCAAGACACACCAAACCAAAGTTTCCCCTGCCCTCAATCACTTTTAGCTAGGACCACTCCTATAGACCAGAGCCTGCTGAAATTACTCAAACCGCCCAGTCCTAAACTTGTCAGATGTGCCTACTCTGCCTCAGCCGTTCCTTCTGAGGAAACCATCATACAGGTTCGGAACCATGCTTTTCCCTTGCTCCTTTTGCCTCCTAACTGACCCTAGTACCTCCCCATGAGGCCCTGCCTGGCATGGCGTGGCATGCCCCCTTCTCTTGAGAGCTATTAAGTAATAAACTCTTCCAAAAGTCGCTATCTCTGTGTCTGCCACCTTACCATTTCTCATTAGAACAAAATCAGAGGCACAATAGGAAGGCATTGCCTTCAGCATAGCACATTGCCCTAAGGTATAAAAATTTAGGGGATGCCAAACAAAGGGACAATTGAAAATATTAGTGTCTTTAAGTTTTCTTTAACCCAGAAAATTTAAATCCATTGTAAGGCTTTCCAAATTTACCTGTCTTATAATCAGGGCCTTTGGGGTATTTTAAATTCAGGAGTGGGATAGATGTCACTTGGATACATATTAGTATATTTATTAAAAAGGAAAAATAAGGTCAAAATTTTTCAAATAAAAATAAATCTGATTTGGCCAATTGCTTTGACAATAAGGACTGGCTTTGCTAACTATATCATATGGTAGATAGTTTTGTAAATTAAATGAGCTAAATCTGTGGCTTTAAGGTTTTGATGAAAATATCTTTAAAGCATGTAGTAAGATAAAATTATTTTATTAAAAAATTAATGTTGGAAAAAACGTTGGCAGTGATGTATTGAAATTAATGATATTTTGATTATTCCAACCATTTCTTTTGGGTTAAATAATGTTCCTTTAAGTAAAAGAATAACCTCTTTAAGAGTAACCCATATTTTTATTAGTAAATAAAAATGAATCCTTTTTGGCATCCTCAGAAATCAAGAAATGGAATACTTCTAACAACTAGGTAACAAATCATGGGGCAAGTTGAGTGGTTTAGAGTTCTTTGCTTTCAGTAAAGTCGAAAGACTACCTACCTGATTTGATTGTCAGCCAACAGATCATTAAGATAAATTGTGCTGATAGCTTACTCTGTGATTCTGGTGTATCATTTGAAAGGAGATCAAAGAATTGAGTGCCATTACTATAACCAAATTCTTCTGTTCCAAGATACTATTTATGTGAATAAGGTTTCTCAGCACTTAAAAATCTAAATATTAGGGGCACCTGGGTGGCTCAGTTGTTAAGCGTCTGCCTTCGGCTCAGGTCATCATCCCAGAGTCCTGGGATCGAGCCCCGCATCGGGCTCCCTGCTC